TATACTTTTTTTTGAGCACTATTGCAAGCGCCATAGACACGAAGTTATATAGAAGTTTTCGCGGGTGGTTGTCAATGGCGACATAATTGTGATAGCGTAATTAATTTTCCACTCACATCATATTTATTCTATTTCATAAAAATCGTTTCATATGTAACAGTTAATTTATTACACGTGAAATAGTTATATATTCAGTGTGCGTGACGGTTTTAGGACATCATATGTGAACGCCTTATTCGAAAATTAGATATTTTCTTTAAAATTGGAGCTGCTCAGTCAGTGCGATATTCACTAACAAGATATAGCAACCTTACTTTAACACAGCAAATCTTGTAGATTTTTTCGTTCTACAGATCGTGCCAAAAGCTCTCCTCGGAACATAAATGTAAACCTTAGATAAAGAATTCTGTATGTTGTTATATACTTGATAACCTCATATCTTCATAATTGAGGAATCGTTAGATTCGTCTTAGTAGCCCTAATGGCAGCTGTGCGATGCGATTATATTTAATGTTTTTTTTTTTTGTTTCAAATATAACAATATAGGTATCAAATTAAAGGGCCCAATACAAGGGCTCCAATGCAAAGGTATATCATAATTATCATTACCGTAATACAAATAAAAATAACAATGATAAAGTTTAAAAATATTAACTTTTTTATCACTTTCTGAACCAGCCTGGTAATTTTTCTAAATTAAAAGGTTAAAATTATAAAAAAAAACAAAAATCCCGCCTGCACGAAAAACGACTAACTAAAAAGGCTGAAACAAGATATTTAATTTTTAATTAGACCGTAGAACCTGAGCGTAAAATAAATACAATATTTTTTTTTGCGGGTGGGAGATGAATAAAGTTATCCAGAGGCAATTTTAAGCAACAAACACTCGTAGGGGGCAAATGTCTATTGATCATTACGATACACTATGCTAGTAGCCGCCAATATTTAAACTATTTAACATTTTATTATATTTGATCAATATTACATTCACAATGCTCTGGAAAATATTCTTAATGAAAAATGTAAAAAAATGTTTGGGTGAATTCAGGCAATTCATGCCTGAACATTGATGAAAATTCACTCTGTAGTATTGAAAAAGAAACAAGTGCTGGAAATATTCGTTGGTCCCATTAGGTCTTAGGTAGCTTGTCCGGGCCCTCCTTGCGGGATACTGGACTCTTCCATTCGCGTGAGGTGAACCGCAGCGGGTTTTACCAGGTAGGGCTTCCGCATTAACCTGCCCTTTTAAGGGCGGGGTGGAAGAGGAGCCCTGGTTTAAGGCTTAAGGTGCATTTCCCCTGCGTTAACAAAAAAAGAAGGTCCTAGGTAGCTCAGTGGTTAGAGCCGTCGCCTAGATTGCAAAAGGTCATAGGTTCGAATCCCATCTCAGAGTATTAAGGACAAAGTGAATTTTTTTAGCATTTTTCATAAATAATATTTATCTTATGTCAACCCTATTGACTTTACGATTTCATACTGATCACAATATTACAAATACGGAATCAAAACGGAGAATATTTACACTCGTTATAAAAACGATATAAAACATAAGCGAGAGATACGGCGATAAATTGACAAAAATCAGTTCTAATTATTAAACTTGATTAATTTTGCATTCACAATGCTATACTGAAAAATATTCTTAATGAAATTTGTTTAATGAATCCACTTTGTCCCCGTTACCTGGTCTACATCTTAGAGTACTAGGGACAAAATGGATTTTTTAAGCATTTTCCATTAACAAAAATTTGTTCAACTGATTTAAATGAAACTTAATCTTTTTACTAAATTCTAGCTTATTTGAAATTCATAAATTAATTGAAATTTACTGAGAACTTTCTCGATGCCACATTTCCTTAATAAATTTTGGTCACTTTAGGACTACAATCAATATCCTACATATAAATTCATCTGCGCTAGACAGGATGTCCAGGTGAATTAGTCAATTGATAGAGACCGCTATTGCATAAATCCTTTTAAGCTGCAATTAGTTTAAATCAAAGCGGTCACAAGCAATCAGCATTTGTGCGATGTCTTTATTATATTGATTTTGGACTCAATACATAATGTAATTAATGGATACTAGTACTTGGAACTATTCCATATCAATTAACAACGGTTGTTGTCTACTTTCAATATTGTTTTGGTGATTCATTCTCGACGTAGACAAGTGGTCGAAGTGTTCTGTATTTTCATTAAAGCTAATTGTAAAATTAAATTTTTTCGGCGCAGTAATTGAATATGTATGAGTACGTACTTTAATAAAAAAGTTTAATAAGTTTTCATTACAGGAGGCATTTCTTTGAACAAGTTAATGAATGTAATTTAATGTTATTATTTCCTATAAAAAATCATTTGTAATATAAGAAAACGAACGGAACAAGCCAGTAACAAGCTTTCTACGAAATAAAGCCGTTTCGTATTTTTTAATCAATAGTATATTGTCTTTTGAACTTGAAGCTGATTGGGAGACAAATATCTAAATCTGTGTTGTATCACTAATGAGTTCAGCTAAGCTCCAATTAGGTCTTATTTTTGCTTGATGGCTATATAAATCTGACAGAAGATTCGCCGGGTTTCATCAGTTGCGGAACTTTAGAAAAGATAAATAATTATTTGACATTCAACCTTACACACTAGGTGGATGACATGCCTCTTACTGACATTGCGATGGTTGAGTATCCCTGGGTTCGAATACAAAAAAGGATCAGGAGGGAATAATGGTTAGAGTATCCTATGCTTTAAACAGAAAGAGGTTTATATCTGCCTTCTACATCAATTGAAAGTTTTCGGTATTCGATCATGTACGAACTCCTCAGAGAGGTACTCCGGCAACGCGTGGGAATGTTGTAATGCGTTTTTGTTTTTATTACAACTTTTTATAACTAATGTTTTATTCGAAGATTGTGTCGACTCAATTTAACATTGACATAGTGTAAGGCCTCAGTCTCGGTGCTTCTTTCTAGTTTAATTCAAAATGTCGATGCATGTTACTTTCTTATTTGGTTGCCATATTTATGACTATGATGTGTATTTTAATTATTTTTAGTTTTAAAAATATTACGCTAGTTCTTTTGTTAACAGTGTGTTTTTTATCAAATTTAACTCTATAATAATAACGAATTTTGAATACTTAAATATTTTTTTAATTTCTTAATAAAATCAGTGCCTAGTGGTTACTTATAGCCACCGTACTGTTAGACCAAAGGTGTTTTAGTCTCGTAATACACAGTGCCTCGATTCCCATTTTTCTTTAATGGAATACCTTTTTTTTTAACTTAACATAAAATCTCTTTCCTGCAAATGAAACATTATTAATAATCTGAGCTTTGTGCTTTCATTAATTATTCTAGTGATTTATATTTTTCATGAAACAACTTGGTAAACATTCTAGCCACTGTTCCTACTTTAATCCGACAGGAATAAGCTCTAATATTTAATTCTAAATGGTAATACTAAAAACCTGTTACAAAAGGATACAAATAGTATATAAATTTATAGGTAGGTCCATCTTAAAGGTAATAATAAAAAAGTTTAGATGTAAGAAAACCTATGACAAAGTGTACCGATCCTAATAGTATTGAGCGTCTCTTATTATAGGTGAATTTACATTCTCACAATATTATTTCATATTAAGTTCAATCAATCAATTAACTACTTATCTACTTAATCACATGTAAACAAACCATTAGCAACTACAGATGCACTCGGGACTTATGACTTAACGTGCCTTCAGAAACACGGAGTAGCTCAAGAAAAAAAGATTTGGTCAGCCATCCTATAAATGGCTCTTGCGAAAGATGCTTAATTCTGGGAACGGTTGCAGAACAGTATTTATGTTTCACATTCATATTAAACTTATTTCTCCATACTTACAAGTAATGCAGCGAGCGTTTGTAGCATCGAACTTAGAATCGAGAATTCCAAAGTGCCCGCTCTGATTCTTTGTTAGGACTGAGTTGTCGTTCAACTTGGCAAAAGGCAACTCGACTTTTGTATAAATCTAAATAAATAAATACAAACATCAGACAGTTTTAAACAAACTTAAAATAAAGTCTTAAGTGTTTCTATTCAGTGTCATCACTGCGATTTTTTTCTAAAGAGCCAATTATTAATTTTCAAAGAATTATTTTTATTTAAATATATGCATAGCCTTATAATAAAATTGTTTAGGAAGTGGTAATTTCGTACATTCTCACCTTAAGAGGAATCTGTACTTTAAAAGTTTTGCATCTGTACTTGAAAATTAACTACGTACATTTTCATTTTACAATGGGAATATTTAATATTTTCCTACGAATCGCCCTTATTATTTTTTTAAACCAAACGAACATTTAATTTATTATACAGCAAATACTCATCGACAATACGACTGCCAATAAGAATTCTTTAATGTGAGTCATACTGGAGAACAGTATGGTAATTCAGAGCACGTTTAACATTATTTGCAAAAACGGAGAATTGTTCAATTTTAACAAGCGGCATTCAATATTGAATAATGCTGTTATCATTAAAAATTGTATAAATTATTTTTTTAATTTGCGGTATGAAGATTTCATACGACAAACCATTCCCAAAGTTGCTTGTTGCTTATTGTGTTCTATACTGTCAATATATTATTTTTAGCTACTTTCTATTTGGATATCAGAAAAACTTATTATGTACGAAATTAGATTGATTTTTAGTCTACAAATAGGTATATATTTATTATTGTAACTGTGTTAAATATACACAGTTACAATAATAAATATGTTTGTGAATTCTCTGTGTGGAATAAGTGAGGTTTGAATACTGATAAAAAAGTTCGTATGTGAATGTTTTCTTTTTACATAAAGTCCGTTACTGTGGGTTGTTGTGCTCGTTTGATTTGTCTTAACATCATAGTAAATATAAAATTAATCTAGTGATCAGATCAATTGTCTTAATTACTTTGGGTAAACGATAAAATATTTATACTTTTCTATTGACTCAACTATTTATTTGTTATTATTTTAATTAAAATGTCAAAAATGAGTTGTTATGCTGATTTTCAATAAAAATTAAGTCATTATGGCACCGGTTTCAAGCTTCCGGCATATTTAAGGTCCTGGATTAGACCCCCGGTCGCGTTAGTGTAGTTGAGTCGCAATATAACGTGTGCCCGTTATTATTAGCTTTAGGCAATTCGGGTGCCTGATTTTAGGTATAAAGACATTTATTTCCATACAAACATATTACTAAAGGCAACACTTCACTGATGTATGTCGGTATACAATAAAAATTAAGCATTATAAGGATTATAATGTGTTACACATGTTCTCTTAATTTAGATTTGAATGAGTTTATATGAATCTATTTTTTATGTTGTTTGGTAGTTTATTGTAATGTTGAACACCCTCAAAAAATATTTAAAAAATAAAAAAAATCTTTTTAAATTAACCTGTATATCCGAACGCACAGAATTATCAGTATTTTTTCTTATCGAAACACAGGTAGAATATAACTGCCTATATAACTGCCGTCGATCTAGTAATTAAGTTCTTTTATATAATTCTTTAGTAGGCGTTAAGTAATTGTAACGGTGTAAGACTTTTAATTTCTATTCTGTCACAAATATAGCTCTGATACTGCACCGGAATAAAGTAAAGATTCAATCAAATAAAACCTTACCTTATAATTTAGATTAAATACTACACCCAAAAAAGAAAGAAATCATTATGAGAACATAAATATGATTTAGACCATTTAAATAGAATTTCAATTTCTTTTTATCCCTTAACAAGACAAGATTAAAAATTCCCCTTTTTATGAGAAGGTGTGAATGAATATTTCGGAATTTCGTTTAATGGACGCCGCTTAGTCTTCGCGTCAAAAAGCCCTTTGTTATCTGCACGTTATTTTTCAGGGGGTTTGGATTCTGCGGACAAAGCGGGACGCATATTTCACAAGACTCTAATCTCGTCTAGTTCACAGGATTTAAGCAAGTTTTTTACACTTTGCCACGTTAATACTCCTTGATTTATTCTGAGCGGCTCGACAGATCTCGCGGGAACAATTACCGTAGCCTATTATACCTGCCGCTATTGTGTTATAAAGGGAGAAAGTAATGGCCACGAAAGTTATACTGTTAAGTGTTTCTACCGCGAAAGCTGATTGCTTAATGTTTCATATTGATTATGAAGTTGCGGTATCTTAATTATTTTTCAGTGTAAGGTACCTACTTATAATAAAAGCTTTGTTAAGTAAATTTGACAAAAAAATAATCTATAATGTTATACAATACGTATATAAATTGTTTGCGGGATAATTTATGAGCGTATTCTAATAATCCTATTAATTTAAAATCGAAAAGTGCCTGTCTCTTAGTTAACGCCGCTACATACTCGAGTGTTTTTGAACAATATCAATTTCCACAAACAGCCGTGTAACGTTCGGCTAAACTATACGTACCCTTTTGTATTCTAAATAAACCTACATGATTGCTTATGCAAATTGGATTTTGTGCAAGTAATAATGAATTTGTTGTCAAATGTTCATTAAAATTAAGGGATGACGTGCAAATTAATAACCATAAGATATCAGATTACACACGCTGTTCTTCTTTGCTGTTCTCTAATGAAGTCAGCGTCAAACTCGACCTCGAGCACAGCTCTGTCATAGCATAGACGTTTAATCAAATAGAATCTTTTATACCTAGGTTTGAAATAGCATTGTGGACTTGTGATCCTTATGAATGCTTTCAATATTTAAATTTGACATGGTTACCATATAAAAAAAGGTTTTAATCGAAATTTAGGTTAATAAAAATTGCCGTGTACGTGTATAGTAATAGTACGTGTTTAAATAAACACAATCGATAACCGTCTTATTGTTTTATGATAAAAAGTAAAAAGAGAGAAAATGAGTGTTCTAGAGCGAATAAGTCGTGATTAATCTATATAATCAATCTTAGGAATCAGTTACAGATTAACAGAGTTTGATAAAAGGAGATTTGGCTAACGATTACCCAAATAAGCTTAAATACTTTGCTACCGACTACGTTTAAATTTTTAGCTACTAATTTATATAAATATCACATGTTTAAGACGTCGGTCACTTCTACACCAGGTTACGTTGATAATTAATGAATATTTTAAGTACTAGTTTTATATTATAGAGATTTTTCTGTTGTTACAGGTGTATGGGGCGACAATTATTGCTCCTAGGATGGACGTTATTACTAGCAATTGGTAACGATGGCGCCGAAATTACATGTCCTGAGGAGTGCAGCTGCCGCACATCCTACCAAAAAGATGAAGGCAGTATATTACGCGTCACTTGTTCGAGGGGGAATATGCACCACATTCCCATTGATTACTTCGATAAGAACGCCCATGTCATCATCATCAGTGCACCACTAGAAAAACCTAACTTTCTTACCATCGGACCAATTTTTACTCAACCCATACCTTTCATAAATCTCCGAGAATTACATATAATTAACTCAAATGTTCCGTCAATAGGTCAGTACTCTTTTTGGGGCCTTCAAAATTTGCAACTCATCAATTTGACCTACAATAATCTTACTAGCATAAATGCTGATAACTTCCGCGGCCTAATAAATCTCACCGAGCTACACCTCGACCATAACAATATAGAGCAGATGCCGAGTGAAACATTCCGCCACCTCACCGCTCTTAAAACTTTAATTTTATCGAATAACCAAATCGAAATACTGGTACCTAGATTATTTCGAATGTTAGCGAAGCTGTCTTATTTGGATTTAAGTGATAATCCCTTGACTGAATTGAACCCGGAGGTTTTCAAAGACATACAACACTTAAGAGTGCTTAAGTGCAGACGATGTTTACTAAGAAGAGTTAATACTCAGATTTATCATTTGGTACCTCATTTAGAGGAGTTGGATTTGGGGGAAAATCAATTCAAATACCTTACGCCTGATGAATTTATAAGTTTGAAGAAATTGAAAAAATTAAAACTAGACGGTAATCAATTGTCAGTAATTGTTGATAATATGTTTGGACGTAATCGCGAGCTTCGCGTGCTGTCGCTAGCCCACAATCGACTCGCTCTACTGGCGCCTAACGCCCTCACTAATTTGACCAACCTCGTGCACTTAGACATTAGCCACAATAAAATCGACAGGTTCCATTTGCAGACTTTCGCGCCTGTTGTGGACTCTCTTAAGACTATAAATTTTAGCGGTAATAACTTACCGTTGAATGAAATCGCTATTGTACTACAGATTCTACCAGAAATTCACGGAGTGGGGCTAGCGAATTTGTCGCTGCCAGAAATACCTCCAAATTTCTTCACATACAATGAACATTTGGTAGCATTAGATATATCTTGGAATAAATTAACAAAATTTCCATATAAATTGCTTACGAAGACAAAATTTCTACAACGATTAGACATATCGCATAACAGGTTGCATACACTGAGCGAGCAAGATTTACAACGCTTGGAAGCGATAGCGCAGATAAATTTATCTAAAAATACTTGGCATTGCGATCAGTGTTCAGCGGGGACGATGCTCGTGTATATGACAACTACAGTGTTGAATGCAACAATAAGACATCTCAAGTGCTACTCGCCGATGAGATTGAGGGGAACCAGTTTTGCCGACATGACTTTTGATCGTTTAGATCCATGTCCAAGTACACATGAAGCACAGATGAGCGTTATAGCTGGTTTAATGTTGTTGTGTATTGCCGTACTAGCAGCGGTGGCAGGCGCGTTATGTTGTACCAGACGACGTGCCGCTCATTATTATACGAATGAGGAGAAGCGGCGAGAACATGCGCACGATCATCCTGAGGAACTACTGGGGCGAACAGAGTTGGGTAGTGTGGCTACCATCCACGCTCCCTACCACCTGGTCTCTAAGGGCAGCTAACAGCGCAGCCCACTACCAACGCAGGCGCCGCGCCCACCGACCGCGAACAAGATCCTGCAAGTGACGCTAGATTCACCGCTACCACCACCGCCGGCGGCATTCTCTTCGTCGCCACTGGATACCGTCCCTATGCGCTACCTTTCTCCTTTGCCCCCACCGATATTAGACGCCAACGTTATGTGATACGAATATGAATTCGAAGACGATATTGTGTAAAGCCAAAGAAATTGAGCTATGGACATTCTATTAATATTAGTACAGTAACATATTATATAAACAAATGGACAATTTAAAATTGTTGATATTGACATTATGTAGATAGAAAACGTCTTCAAATTATAAGAAAAGAGATATTTTTCTACAAAAAAAAAAGATTTTTATGTAAGTTTTCAGTTTGCACCTGAAACAGGACTGTTGACAGTAGATAGTTATAAGTAGGTAAGTTTGAACGCATTTAATACATTATATCTAAGTTTAAGTGCACGTATGTTAATGTATTGTATAAAAAAATGGATGTTCAATTTCGATGATAATGGAGCAAAATAATAAATACCAGCTAAACCCCTCCATGGTTTATTATGGCCAAATCTAGTACGTAAGAGTTCTAGAATAACAACGTATATAACACTCTTATATAAACAATATTTTACTATTAATGAATTATAAGTTATACATCACTTATCAAAACTAGCTTTTGCCCGCGATTTCGACCGCACGGTAAGTTCTTTAGGCAGCATTTCTAGAAATGCTTAAACAAATATTTATTCATTAATGTATAAAATACCTGAACACAAACTTTCATGATTTTATCTTTGACAATGAGGAACTTCCATACAATTTTTAATTCCCTATGTCAACCCATTTATCACAATAAAAGTAACATATATCCTATATCCCAAGTCAACCTTGTATTGTGTTACACAGTTACACAGACCTACTTTCGCATGTATATATGTATAATAAATAATATGGAATAATTAAACGATTCTCCTTATCTCTCATTACATTATATAATAAGAGATTACCAGACATTTACCGAAATAAATAGACCAGGAAGAATATATATTACAACTTTTAAATTCACACCTGATTTTTTTTTCGAGTTTATATTAAGGAGATGGAGGTCCGAGATGTGTGAGTGAAGCAATGAAAAAAATGTTGAGTTTAATATGTCGTAAGGAGCTCGATGGTTCCGTATTTAGCGCTCTCGTGCTGCGATACGGTTGTTAAACAACTTTCACAATATCATAGGCTAGTTAGAGAATGGGTGACCAAAAATTTGTTGCCCGAGTTCCTTCGTGTTTCGGAAGGTACGTTAGGCCGTTAGTCCCGGCTGCATCTGTGACAATCATCAAGAATAAATTGTACTCAAATACCAATTTTCATCACTATATACTTGAGGAAATCTTTATCAATAATATTAAATAGATTTATTACAATGATAAATCAAATAGTAAACATTGCTTGCCATGGTTAACACTGGTTAACATTTTAATTCTCCATAAAACTTGCTTACTGTTTTTCATCCCCTTAAATGATAGTTTTCGGAATAAATATCTTATATATGTATATGGTATGGTATGCTTCTAGGAGTATACCTACTCCTAGAAGCATACATACGATTGACTGCAAAGATTGTCAATAAATGAATATAATTTTTAATTTTTCAACTCATCACGAAACTCAATTGCCAAAGCTATTAATATATTTTTTTTGCATATAAAAACAAAAATTCTTTTATCGCATGTAGTTGTTCAGAAATAATAAAGAAAAACTTTTTTCACAACTGGTTGTGAAACTCAGTTGCCATTGCAGCCGAAAGGAAAATGATTAAGCTAATCGCCACTTGTTTTAAGATTTTTATGTTGTTGTAAACTTTAAAACATCAGAATGATTGCTAAAAACGGAATTGCTACCGAGTACCTTATATTTTATGAGTACCTGCTTTTGAGTTCTTTTACGTCCGATACACCACTCGGTGTATCCAAGCGCGAAACGACACTTTTATGATTTATCTTCTGGTTTTGACAAATACAAACCAATGGATTCCAGACACTAGACAATTTAGACCCATCCTCGCGATTAATTGTGCTTTGTTATTTCAATCGCTTCCCTGACCATTCTTGGTATATGATGGCGTTCAGTCGAAATAATCTGTGGCTTATGGAGCTCGATCCAGTGGTTAATCCCGAATCAGTCAAATGTGCCGCGTTGGCTGATTTTTAAATTATTATACGATTTAAATATAACCCGTCAATCACTATTGAAAATTATCAAAATGGAATTTTTTGATCACATAATTAGGTACAATTCTGAAAATGTTCTCCTTATAAGTTAGTTTATAAGGAGATTACAAGATTGTTATTTAAAAAAATGATGGATTTTTATAATTTTAATAAACATCTATTTTAACCCGGGTGGCTGAATTCTGAAACCCTTTCTTAATACTCATTTACTATATTCACCTCTGTGCCAGTTTGCTCAATCCCAAACCAAGTTTGCGTAGTGCGTTGATCATAAAAACGAAAAATGAGTATCAACAGCATTTTATAATCTACACTTATATTAGAAATAAGAAATATTTGATTGTTTGTTTGAATTGAATAGGCTCCGGAACTAATGAACCGATATTAAAAAAAATATTTTGATATTAAAGCTACGTCATACGTGACTAGCATAGGTTATATTTACGAGGGTAAACACGCCGTAAAATTGCTAGTTTTTAGTATATTTTCATCTGTGCAAAGCATAAGTACAACCTGAAGTGTAATCTGTTACCGTGAAATAACACAACACAATTACAAAGCTATTGTGTAACGAAGGGCTTTTGTGACGAGAGTGTAACTGAACATACAATCTTAAACATCATATATTCTCTTGTTTATTTAGGGAGAAATAATATTCATTTTTTATTGAATAATAGAGTTTAGACAGTTGGCAAGCTTTTGACAAGAGATAGACAAGACAGGTATCACTAATTTAGAAATATATAATTAAAATATATGACTCACACACAGACTATAAATGTTCACATTGAAAATTAAGTAGGTTTAATATTTTCACTTCTTTTACATGGATGTAGTATGACTAGACGTTGAATAAGAGTTGATTTGCTACCTTTTGAGTATGATATGAAATACTTAAAATTTAGGAAATGTGCTCATAAGCTCCTACAAATGACGCCTTGCGAATATAATCATAGAGTTCTAATATTTTTTAATTCTAGGCCAAACAAATACATATTTTTCTAAATTTTTCATTTTCTTGTTCGTTATTGATCTCGATAGCCGTATACCGGTTTCAACTTATTAACCGTCTCTGGTTCAATTCTCGTCTAGGTCAATGTAGAAAATGACCTTGTTTATATATTGTTTTGGGTCTGAGTGTTTTGGTACTCAAGTTGTTTCAGTTAGTTTATATATATTTTTCGTAATTTATTTGAGAGTAAGCGGTCTTTTTGTTGTTATCACAGATGCAGGTGCCATTTGGTTATGACCAATACAAACATTTGTTTTCTAGTTATAGATGCGTAATTAATACTTGTTCACTTGATTTAGATCTAAATGGGTGACGGTGTGTATGTGCAGTTTAATTAATAAATGCGATGAAAGGAGCAAAAAAATATTAAGAATCGACATTGAAATTCTAATAAATAAATGGAGGAACCATTGATTTATTTAATCATTATCATCATCATCAGCTTATTTAATTCCCGACTCTTTCATACTCCTGTAAGGATGGAATTGAATTGAATAAGGAGAAAATGTTATGGCTTACCACGCGACTGCAAATGCAGGCTTAAACTGCTTTCAGACGGAGAAGCTTGAGATAATAAATTTTTGTCACTCATCGTATGACCGACCTTAGAGAAAGTTACTTATCTTTTGCATCGTAAATCGACCGTACCAATCACTGCACTATCGAGCTCAAATTATATAACTTGATGAATTTTGCAATATCGATATTAATGTATAACAAACATAAACTGAGTCTATTTAAGTTTGTGATATTTTTGGCGAGTTGGTCCTCTAGTGATGATCTAATAAATTCAAATCAATCAACTCGACGATAAATAGTACTTTTAAATTTTGCATTGCATGGATTTGTCGATGTCATCATATGTCCACTACAGCCGCATTTTTCATAGACGCTTTTCATAAACGCGACTGTCAGTTTTGATGTTGGAATTATACTGATGGCGTCATAAGAATTTTTAATATGTCGTGCGGCCGGTACGTGCGTGCTGACATATTCACATTAAATAGTTTTTATATCTGATCGCTGAACGTTTCAATAATGGCTCTTGGAGAATTTATAGCATCTTCAATAGTTTAAAAATTAAAATCATATATTGGTTAACATCACTGGGAAAACCAATCACGGTTTGGCATTGAAAGCATTAGTCATTGATCCTGAATTATTCAATCAGATCGCTATTCCTAGAACTTTGGAATTGTCCATCGTATAATTTTACAAGTCGAAAAGCTTTAGAAGCATATTCTCTCTTACAAAAAAGATTTATCACAATCAGTCTAAAATTAAAGAATACGTATATCGTGTAACGTGCTTACAAAATAATCAATTAAATTTAGAAACTGTACCTTCTCCGCATTGGATTAAAATATATTATATGGATGCTATTTCAAAAATGAGTATAGACGTAAATAATGCAAAACTGGATTGGAAAAAAATGCTCATTTCCGTCAAAAGCAATACGGTCTAAAAAAACACATTTGCCGATCAAAATAAAAACGTTCCAATAGCTTCCACATTAAATATCGAGAAACTTATAGATTTATGTAAACTAGGCAATCAAAGAATCTCCACACAATTGAAAATATTATATGGGTCATCTCCGATAACAATTTCGAAATTCGCATCAGTGATTCCTTTATATTATTACACTTGGATTCAAAGGGATTCCTTTTAAAAAGCCTATCATTACATAGAATAGACATTCCACGAAGTTTTCTGCATAGATACGTCTATGTATTAAGCTT